TTTTGTCAGAGAAGGCTATTCCATTGCCATTTAAATATTGAAGGTGTGTGAATTCAGCAAAATCATCCAATATAATCCAGTAGTCCATAATAGCAGTGAGTTATCCATTGGACTGGCAATGCTAGAAGTTATTGACTTGAGCCTTTATAGCTCAGTAATTGGTAAATTGAGGTAAGTTTCATTGTGTTGAATTATCCTAGTCATTTTATTTTCTTGTTCTTGGTTTGTTGTTTTTCTCCACTGTTTAGTTGCTTATCTTGTCTGGTGGATTTTTTCTATTGGTATTTTTGGGTTGTAGACTTCTTTATCTCTTTCTAAAATATCATTTATAACTCTCGTAGGAGAGTTGGCTGGTAGTCATGAGTTTTTTCAGTTGTTCCTTGCCATGGAAATGTCTTATTTTTTCATTGATTTTGAAAGAATACACCAATCTGGGTTTGGGGTTATTTTCTTCTAGGATTTAAACAGTTCACTCTCACCTTACCTTGACATAAGGGTTTGTGTTGAGAAGTTTGATGTGATTCTGATAGGCTTTCTTTTATAGGTAATTTGTTTCTTTTCTCTAGTAACAATTGTTAATATTCTGTTCTTTTGCTGAATTTCTGAAATCTTGATTATTATATTCCTTGGTGTAGATTTCTTTTGTTATATATATTTCTCACTTATCTCTGCCAAATTTTCATGCTAGGGAGGTTTTCTTCCATTACTTCTTTTTGTTATTTTATGTATTTGGTACAGGATCTCACTACACAGCTCAGACTCATAGTAATCCTCCTGCCTCAGCCTCTTCAGCAGTGGGATTATAGGTGTGTCATTTACTCTTCTCTCATCGCTGGGACAAATACCCAACACCCAAAATGAAGAAGGAAATGGTTTATTTAGCTCATAGTCAGTAGAGGTTTCAGTCCATACTCAGCTGGCACCAAGGCAGAGTGGCACATGACAGAGAGCAACATATCATGGTGGCAGAAGGCAGCAAAACAGCAAGAGCAAAGAGGAGTAGTAGCAGCAACCATGGCTACAGAGGAAACAGAGAGCAAGTCTGTCTCTTAGTCTCTCTTATGTTAAATTCAGGCTATTCACCTCAGCTGTGGGTGTGGCACTCATAACCATAATCCCAGCAGTACTCAGATCCATAATCCCAGTCTTGGATTATGAATTAATCACAAACTAAAACTGTGCCTCAAATACACACAAACCATAACAACAGGTGTGCACTACCGTGCCCAGACTCAGCGGCCAGCCGGGCTCTTCCAGAACAGAGCCGGCATGGGTGTGGTACCAGGGATCGAATACTTGCCTAAATAGGTCCTTACGCTTGCCTAGGCAGGCACTTAGACCGCTGAGCTATCTGGCCAGCCCATGCCATTATTTCTGTGAACAGGTTTTTATGATGATTACATTATTGTCTCCTTTTTCACTGAATCGTTCAATCTTATGCTGTTCTTCTTTGCATCCACTTGCAGCTCTTGGATGGAGTTTTCATGGTCCCATGTTGGATTGAGTTTTTCTGTCTTCTATATCAAATATTCTGTCCTCATCTTGGTTAATTTGTCTGCATATACTTTCAATGGAATTTTTAGTCTCCTGGGTATCCATTTGAATCTGTTTCATAAATTCTATTTCTTATCTATTTTGGGAATTCATGCTTTCTATCATTTTCATAAACTCTATTTTTTAAAATCTGTGTCTATTCTGGATTCTCTGAGCATGTCTTTTACTTGAATCATCATTTTGTTTTTACACGAAAAATTATTTCCTATCTGATTTTCTCCATACCCTCTTTCATCTGCTTTTGTACTTCTGCTACTACCATTTCAGAAAACGCAGGTGATTGACTCTGCTACCTTATTGTCCCCTGGACTTGTTAAAGGTTGCCTGGAGGAAGGGAGTTGCATTTTGCTTCTGTATCTTTTCACTTTATATATCTTTCACTTTTACTTTGTTTTCTGTGTCGATGCTTATAAATTTCTTGTGGTAGAAAGCTTTATCCCTAGTATTCCTACTTCTGTAGAAGATGTCTGTTCCTCAATGATGTATATAAGGGGTAGGTAGCTCTTGGTCTTTATGTCTGTCCCAAGATCCTACCTTTCCCATTTATCAGGGTGAGAAGTTACTACGTATTTGGCTCAGCAACTAGTTCTATAGTGCTGGCCTATGTGATGGTTATGACCACAATCAATCCAGAGGTGCCATACAAGGGAGGGCAATTGAGGGCAATGTATGTGACATCCTGGCTAGAGCATTAAAATTAACAAGTACACTAGCATCAACCCTGGCCTAGAAACTGACGCATTGAGATAATTAATTGGTGCCTTTAACTATGAGAGCAACAGCTACAGTTATATAACAAAATCTTACATAAACTAGGAAGTTGTATTCGGTGAAGTTTTCCCTTCATGGAGTAATTTTACCCTATAAGGGAGAAATTAAAGAATGATATAGGACAAAAGGGAGAAAAAAATTAAGAGAAATATAGCAGAAGCACGATTGAAAGACCAAGGATGATCACCTAAGATTTTGGAAACTGGGTAAGAGAACAGAAGAGAAAGAACAAAGACAAAATAAAATTAAACCAAACCAGAAAGACTAGAAAGATATTCACGCTCATGAAAGAAAATATCAAGATGATCAAAGAAAAAAATGATGAAAACTACAAAACAAACAATAAAAATGAAAACCTAAGCAATCAAATAAGATGCCAGATAGAAAATAAACAATGACAAAAGAAGAAAAGAAAACGGGTAAAATTCCTCCGCTGTTCACAGGTCTGTGGTAGTATCCATCCATGTCAGAGCCCAAACCGTGCTGGGTAACCCTGTCAAGTCTGCAGTAGGTTTAATGCTGGTTGAGGTGCCGATTTGGCCTCCAGATATGGGTGTGGGCCAGTTGTTAGCCAGCTAATTTTGGGATGTCGCTCAGCAACTCATCCATGTCTCCTTGCCTGTTTGTCTCTGTGTCAGTATCCCAGTTGGCCAAGGAGACAGCCTTAGGCTGCTCAAGCCCTCTCCCTTTCCTCTCTAAAGGGAGAATCCTGCCTTCTACTCATTGCCACACACTGCCCAGGCAGTTTAAGACCCGTGTCTGCTTCTCTCTCTCATGCAACTGGTCATGGGACAGGATGGGCAGTGGTTCCACTCACTACCTTTATTACTGACAGTGTAGAGCCACGATGTTGTTGCTAGAGGTTCTAGATAACTGCTATTGTACACAACAAAAAAGAGAAAATAAAGAGGAAAAAGAAGAAGAAGGAAAAGAGAAAAAAACAAAAAGGAAAAGAAAAAAAAAGGAAAAAAGAAAAGAAGAAAAGAAAAACTCCACTAAGAAGAATGTATGCAGTGTGTTAATTATTGAAACTGTCCTACCTATTTGATTTGAAACTGTCTCATTGCTATTTGTTTATCAATAAAATTATGTCAAAAAAAGAAAAGAAAAACTGATGGCTCATGAAGAGACAGCAGCTTCCTGGGCACTCATCCTTGTGTGTGCCAGTGTGATTTGCTGCCAGGCTATGGTGTGCTGTGTCTGGAGGAAGGCAAAGTGTAGCTTGAGTTTGCCATACTATTGCAGTCCATCATTATTTGATGGGAGGAATTCCAGAATAGTGGTTGTTTCAGGTGCAGGTGGCAGCCCCACAGGAAGCCCTGGGAATTTCTTTACCATTTTATAAAATCTTATGTCTATACTTTGTTTGATTTACAAGTCTCTTATTTCAGATTAATTTTGGCTTCAGGTTGTATGTCCTGCCCCTTCTTTCAGCTACTTGTGTCTTCAGTTGATTTTATTCCAGTAACTCTAATGTGACTCCTCCTCTATTCAAATGTGTCGAATCCCAGATATGAGCTTCTGCACAATGATCTACATGGAGTTTCAGAAGTGGGGAGACTTCATACTTTGCCTTCAGTAAACATAATCTAAAAGCTAGCAGAAATCTCTGCTTCACAACCTTGACTTGAAGTCCATCAATTGATTTTCTAAACCTCAAAAGCAAAAACCTTAGTGTCACAAATATTTTATTTGTATTACTTTCTGTTACACAAATTTTTAGATTTTACCTATATTGCATCTACCTAAGCAATACTGAAGTAAGAAAGAATAATATTAAAATTTTACACAGAAAAGGAATATTAAATGAGAAGTAAAAATGCATAGTGAGAAATTTAAATCTGGTGAAATGGTTTTAGAAGTTTTGAAAAAGCTTCAATATTATTGCAATTGCATTTACTAGAAAAAAAACTTTAAAGAAATACTGCTTTTTGGTGCTTATTTGAATTGCCTAAAGTTTAATTTATGTGGGGAGAAGGCAGAAGGGAATTGTATGTGTTTCTTAGGATTCAGAATATCCACTATGTGTTCTTTAGTTGCATACGATATGCTGTTTTGTGATAGCATATGTTTGACCTGGATTTGTTTTATATCTTTCATAGTTTGATAAGTCATATTGTTATGTTCTTCATACATAATAATTATAGTTGTTTTGTTGATATACGCATGGTAAATCTTGTCATTTTTAATCCTCCAATAAAAATATATTCTAATTATAGAATTGTTAAAGGTGTAAATTGAAAAAGTTTGTGTCACCAAAACTGGATGCAGCAGAAAAATCAAGATCCAAATGGAGAACAGATGTTAGGATGTAGGAAGAACTTTTCAAATGGAAGGGCAGCAAAAGATGGGGGAGGGAAGGAAAGGAAAAAGGAATTTAAAGAAAAAAAAGCATTGAAGGGAAAAAATGGAAATCGAGGCTTTGCAAATGCACGATAGAAGGGCTGGAGAGAGGAAGGAAAGGGGAGGAAAACAATAATTAACAGGAGCTGTGTACAAGTACAAATGCCCCATAATGAATGGGATTAATATGTACTACGAGTGCAGACTAGTAAAGGGAAATCAGCATGAGATCATTGCATTAACATGAAAAGACTCCATTTTTCAGTTTTTATGCTATAATTTTATTTTAAAAGTAGAATTATTTCCCCTTTCATTGTCTTCTGCTTTTATAGAGATGGATCTGAACAAACAGGAGTTTTCTGCGCTTTGTTAAATCTCATAGAAAGTGCAGAAACAGAAGAAGTCATAGATGTTTTCCAAACAGTAAAGTCTCTACGCAAAGCTAGGCCAGGAATGGTTTCCACATATGTAAGTATTCCACATTCTTGCTTTTTAAAGTGCTGTCCATTTTCATCTTTCTGGCTTGCCTCTTCTTTTTCCTACTCTTTTACCCTTCCATTTGCTTCCATTCCTTCTCTTCTATTAATCATCTCAGACTCAGCCAGTCACCTGCCTCACTCAAATGTCCACCAACTCCTGATGAATCTCCTGGGCTACTTCAGCATGACTTCACTGCCAGGAGGTTGGGAGTTGACTGCCAGTTAGTCTGGCAGTAGGGATTAATGGGCCATGTCTCTCCTCCTCTAGAAAGCTAGGTCATACTTCTTCATGTAAGGTGGCAGAGTGCCATCTGGATGAACAGGCATGTGGGTCACCTTTGAACCCCAGGCTCTAAAGAGAAACAACATCTTCCCTTGGATTTTACCAAATAAGTCAGGAGGCCAGCTCTTCTCCAAGTGTGTGTGTGGGGGAATAGACTCCCCTCTGTTGAGAAGCACTTTGGGCATATTGTAAAAACCTGTGTACAGGGCTGTGGAGATAACTCAGTGGTCTAAGCACCTGCCCTGGCAAGCTCAAAAAACTGAGTTCCATCTTTGGTACTACATACTGTGCTGGCCCCGGAGCTCTGGGCATGCCATGTGGAACTGAAAATGAGTGTGATTGGAAGGAAGATCACCGTGAGTCTGAACTGTAGAGTAAGACCCTGTAATAAACAAACAAATAAATAAATACATATTTAAAAATACCTGTGTACACAGGGAGAATAATAAATGGCATTTTTTGTCAACCATATATCCTCTCTTTGTGGCACTAGCTGTAGATGTTCGTGTAGAAACTAGCAATTATTCATAATAGAAACTTAATTCCTTACTAGAACTAGAACATGAACAAGGGTGTTTCATTTAGCCAAGGGCATGGAGCAGGTGGGGTGGTTGCTGCTCTCATCTTCAGTGATGTGCAGGTAACAGCCCAGAAGATCAGCACAGAGTAGGTGTCGTGGGCCAGGCCCATGGCTGAGTAACTGTGTGGTGTGTATTAGGTGGGATGGGAGCATTTGTTTGGCCTTCCTGAGGTCATTTATTATTATTATTATTATTATTATTATTATTATTATTATTGAGACAGGGTTTAGCTATGTAGTTCAACCAGGCCTTGGATTCACTATGTATCCCAGACTGGCCTCAGATATACATGGATCCTTCTGCCTCAGCCTCCCAAGTGCTAGGGTTATAAGCATGTACTTCCATGCCTGGCCTATCTAAGGTCAGTTTTGCAAAGCACCCTCAGAGCTTCAAAGCCATATGTCATTTAGAATGTTCTTCATAAGACTGAGGCTATAGCTTAGGTTAGAGCTCTTGTTTTGCATGCTTGTGGCCCTGGCTATGGTCTCTATATCTGAAAAAATAATACCTCATGAGAATATATCAGAGAACAGTTTTCTTTCCAGACTTCCACTAATAAATAATTAATTGATGCTTATTTTCTTCTGACATAAAAATAACTGCATCAACTGCCTTCATATAATTTCTGGCTGCTTTTCCTTTCTAGGAGCAATATGAATTCCTCTATGACATTATTGCCAGCACCTACCCTGTCCAGAATGGACAAGTAAAGAAAAACAGCTACCAGGAAGATAAAATTGAATTTGATAACGAAGTGGACAAGCCAAAGCCAGATGCTAACTGTGTCAATTCAAAGGGTGCCCAAGATCAGACCCAAAATGAAAACAAAGAAGCAGAAGGCTCTAGACCCACAAGCAGCTCAGAAAGGCCAGAACACTCTCCCAATGGCCCTGCAAGCCCTGTTTCACCTGAGAGTTCATAGGAAAAGAGGAAAAGGGAGTGACTCAAAACCTCACCCTGGCTGTGATTTCTGTTTTCTAGAAGGGGGGAATAGTTGATTTGGAAGAACGAAGTGCTCAGGTTGAACATTAGAGAAAGTGTCTGTTTGAATACTGTGGAAAATATTTAAGATAGTTTTGGTAAAACATTTTGTATAGTCTTACGTTTATCTTAAAATCTCTATCAGTCAACAAAAACAACTTTGTAGTCTTCACATGTGTATGCTTTTGTGGATGCTCTTGGTAAGGAACTGGGAGTTTGCTTTCAAGTGAACCTAAATGCTCTCGAGAAACTTTGCCTCTTTGCATTTCTGGAAAAAAAAATCCACATTTTATTATATGGTACTGTTAACAGAAGGTTCTTGTTTCGTAGTATCATAACTCCATAGTGGCTACATAAAAATAGCATGTATATTTGGAGACTGACCTCCAGGTGTCCTCCTAGCCCTACTCATACACATCAGTTACTATTTTAAAGATAATATATAAATATAGTTTTTATGTATAGCTACTACAAAAATGTTAAGTAAATTAACTTCTGGAAGTCATATATAATACCATACATATAGCATTGCCAAATTTTTGTTTGAAAAAGTATATTAATATTTAGAGAGATCAAGAAGTCATCTAGAATGGTGTTCAATTAATTATTTTGATCTGTCTTTGGTAATGATGTCATGAGTACATTTTTCTTTTTCTAATGGCTTTTTATTTTGAATTGTGCTAGTATAAAATGCTTCTAAGTGGAAAAGGTTAAGAATTGCTATAAGTGTGTTCAGTGATGAATGTGTTAATTTGCTTGAGTGTAGTAGTCATTTTGCGATGTATATGTATCTCAAAATATGATTTTGTACACCTTAAATATATATGATCTTATTTGTACAAGTGTGTTTTGCCCAATATTTCCATGAGGAGCCTGATGAAACTTTATGTGAAGTTCAAACAGTGATATTAGACATAACTTACTGTGTGTGCTTTATTTCTCATCATTAAAGTCCATCTTTGATTTTCACTGAAATGTATTTAATTTGAGTGTTTCAAATGCTTAGGCTACATTGATAAGGAGCTGGTATCGATGACCCTCATAAAACTGAATTGTTATCTTTTCTGTTTATAATAAAGTCTGTTACATGTTCCTTTATGACATACATCTATGCAGCATGTGGCAGAATGTATATGAACAGTTTTCATTAAGTTGGTGACCACTTCTTATTAAAAAAAGGGAGGAGAGAATTAATTTTGTACATCAGAAAGAGAACAAGTTTGCCTTTTTTTTATTACATCACTCAAAATTTTGGCATCTAGTTTTTGCTAATAAATCTTCAATGCTGTATTTACAAGATAATTCAGTTAAGGGGCTGGGGAGTTGGCTCAGTAGATAAGTGCTTCCCTGGCAAGCACAAGGGTATGAGTTCAATCCCTGATTTGGGAAGAGAGAGAGAGAGAGAGAGAGAGAGAGAGAGAGAGAGAGAGAGAGAGAGAGAGAATAAGAAAATTCAGGTAAAAATGATTCTTGTGCCCAGGAGATCCAAGTGATAGAGATCTGTTGTTATCTGGGAGTTGCTTCAAAATACAAACAGAAAAAGTAAGGTTTCTTTCTTTAGTGGTTTCAACTATAAATACCATCTTCTAAAAGTACACAACACATGTTTAGTGTGTTTTCCACTTGAAAGCATCCTTTCAATTTTTTTTTTTGCGGAACCGGGGATTGAACTCAGGCCCTTGCACTTGCCAGGGAAGCGCTTATTCCACTGAGCCATCTCCCCATCCCTCCTTTCAAATTTTTAAGATAAATTTTTAGCAAGTAGAACCACAATAAATTTTATTAGTTTAAAAAGTAACTTGAAAACATACTTTTTCTTTTTTTAAATAGGAAAGTGTAGTACCCCGCAAATAGAGCAGCACTTCTGCAGCCCTTTATTCCAAGCAGGTATATCAGCAGGTGAAATTCATTGTATTAGAATGTGGAAGCATACAACTATAATTTTATTCTTAAAAAAGAAAATAATATGTTAATTATGGACCCATTTCTTCAGCCATGGGTTTCATTCATAGGAAATGTGTCAGCAAATATTTGTCACAAAATACTGCTTTGCAAAATTTACCACTTTCATTATTAATCCCAGGACTGAGACAAAAATATTAAGCAAAAAAGTTCCAACTTATAAAGAGCTTACTCTATTTAACACGTAAGTTCTAAATTCCATTGAATGTTTATGGAGCACAAAGAGACTACATCTCTTCTAAAGTTTATTTACCTTTATTCTTTGTCTCAGAATTCTTTGAGAATAAGTGATACATTTAGTTATCTTAAAATTCAGCTTTCAAGCCAAACGATTTTGTACATAAGCTGCACAGAAATATTTGCAGAAAAGAAACACACAATCTATACTTCCACAAAAATGATAAAATATGTAACAGCATTAGCTGAAGGTCTGCATGGATAATTTTAACAGTGCAAAGCTCAGCTCAGAATTCTAATGCTATTTAATGAAACTTCCACATTTCTCCTTTTTTCTCTTTAAAGCATTAACTATAAAGTGTGTTTGTTTACTGTTAAAACTGTTTAGTATTGTTTTTAGTTTTTAATGTATATTGTAGATTTCATATAAAAAATTCTGATAGTTCCACGTCAGGTCTAAATAAGTGGGAGATAATTGCTCCTAAATAATTACAAAGTGTTCTTGCTTTTTGTTTTTCTTTTTCTTTCTGTATTTTAGGGAAGGGTCTACAGGGTGTTCCTGGTCTCACTACTAGATTGGACTCATAGACATTCTCCTGTATACAGCCTCCCAAGTGCTGGGATTACAGGCGTGTGCCTCCATGCCCAGTCTCAATTGTTGTCTCAGCACATCCCTGGGGTCAGAGCTACCATGGCAGGCCTGGGGATTGAACCCCCAGCCCTTGTGCCTGCTTGCAGGTGCTTTAATCCACTAAGCAATTTGGCCGGCCCTGCAAAGTGTTCTTGATATGAAGACCTTTACATGCATAACTTCAAAGGAAATGATTATCTGTTAAAACTAGGAAAGGTGGTGCTTTTATTCTCATGTACAAATTTTATATCTGAAATAATCTAAGAGGCATATTCAAAATAGGGCTATTTATTTCCTCTTTCAAATGAAGATACTTATTCTACTAAAAGTCTACCTTTTTTTTTGTATTCATTTTTTTGCAAACCTCATTACATTACATTTCCCATGACATTTTATTCTTTCTGGATCCAAAATGCTTGCTATATTTTGATTAATAGTTGTAAGATAATTAAAAGCTTCTAATAATTTAAAGAAAATGAATTTTTGCTCTCTCTCTCTCTCTCTCTCTCTCTCTCTCTCTCTCTCTTTCTTTCTTTCTTTTGGTGGAACTGGGGATTGAATTTAGGCCCTTGCACTTGCCAGGGAAGTGCTTATTCTATTGCACTATCTCCCTGGTGCCTCACATACTTCTTTATATGCTTACTTTCTTCATGAAGGTGTGGAAGTTGGTTGTAGCCCAGTTAAATATAAAATGAACAAAAACAAGAAATGATTGAAATATTTGAGACACACTCATACTACAGAAAATTATCCCTGTATATATAAAATTCAAGTTAATTGGGCATGATATAAGTAGTTACATATGCATGTGCATGTTAACATAGTATACATGGTGTACATCACATATATGCAAAATCTTAAAACCATAACCTGGAAATGTCTACCCTATCAATTTTACATTAGTAGCATTAACTTCTTAGCCTCTGTTAAAACTTACTTACTCATCATATGAAAATATAATTTTCCCTGCTAAGAAGATTTTCCAGGGGTAAAAATAACTGAGTGAAATTGTCGCTGGACTAGATCTTACAAGAGCTGCCCAACAAGGAGATGCGACCTTTCCCTTGCCCTTTTGGGTAGCTTTGTGGATTCTCATCTCAGAAAATCATTTCAGGATGTGTCATAATGAAATATGGGTAGATTTATTAGGAAGAATTAGAAAGTAAGAAAAAATGGGGAAGGGACTTCTTAGCTTCTGGAGCTAAAGGGTGCATAGTTCTGATGAAAAGGATTTATCTGGCTATTTGGTAAAAGAACAAGGCCAGGTTCTGTGGGTGTCTTAGTTACTATTCTCTCTCATTACTGGGATAAAATATCCAACACCCAGAATTAAGGAAAGAAAGGTCTATTTAGCACAGATAGTAGAGATTTCAGTCCATACTCAGCTGACTCCAAGGCACAGGAGCAGAGAGCAGCCATTGGTGGCAGTAGCAAAGAGTGAAGAGCAAAAGGAGAGGCAGCAGCTGCGGCTTCTAGCTAGCATCTCTCCTCTTCTTACACTGTAATGCAGCCCCACCAGGGCCATGGTGTAGCACTCACACTCGAAATCCCAGCACGGGATCAAGAATTAATCGCAAACTCCAGAAGCTGCCCCATGACTGCATGAGGCTCTGGGGGGACAACTAGACAGAAACCATAACAGTGGATTTGTTACATTGTATTTTGTGCATTTCAGTTCCAGCTTGCAAGATGGCTTTAGAAGTCCTCACTGCTTGAAGGGGACATTTCAGTTTCTGTGAGATGATGGTTTTTGCTTGTGCCAAGCTCAGATTTGTGGAGGCTCTGCTGGAATCCAAAGTGACCACAGGACAATGAGTAGATACTTTTGGGTATTCACTGATGGTTGATTGCCCTTGTGAATCTCTTCTGTCTGTCCTCAGCCTCAAAAGGGAATAAGATAAGTGATAGGTTCTATCCCAAGTACAGACTGGTAAATTATCATGGCTCTGATTCAACATGACTGAATCCTCAAAACAGCAGCTTGTCTTCCCAATGACCACTTCCTCCTCCTTCCCCACTCCAGCCCTGGACACAACTTCCTTTTACTTTTCCCACCTAACAGCTCCTTGTGTGTCCTTGAGCCTGCCCCTCAAACTCCGCCCCTAGCAGAAGCCCATAAAGTCTTATCCTCCATGTCCCAGAACAGAGGATCTCCCCATCTCCTTTCCCTTTCCCTCCATCCTCTCTGGGTCTTCAGAGTTAATAAAAGCTTTCCTCACCTCCCTTATTTCTGCTTCACTGCCTGGTCACTGCTGCTACTGTTGCTGCTGCTAAAACCTAACAATAGGGTTTTTTATTTTTTAACTTGAAGGTTAATTAATGTTGTTTAAGTGGCTTTTAGACAGACCCTCCTTCCATCACTAGCAAGAATTTGACCCACAGTTTTAAGATATAAATGAAGATCAAGCTTTGTTCTACTTTTAGTTAACTATTGAGCATCTGTAGGTCCATATAGACAGTCACTGCTTCTTAGCAAAACACACTAAGTCCCTCAGAAACAAACCCAATTCATGTTTCAGTGACTAATAGTTTAAGGGCTCAGGAGTTTGTCCTCTGCCCCTATGGTAATATTTGTGCCAAACTAATTAGATGACTATGCAAATAAAGACTTTTCAAAAACTCAACATAGACCCAAACAAAGTAGATGTTTGCTATATTATCATTTACCAACGTTAAAAATTATTACTATAACTATCCTTTACTGAGGCACACTACATACCAGAGAGTCAATAATTTTTACCTGAACTTGTTTAGCAGGACACGTTCTAGGCTACACATCTATGCTCATTATCTTCACTTTACAAGTGAGGGATGAGCCTTTGAGAAGCTCGGTGCCTGGTGTGGCACAACACATATGTTAGTGACAGAGCCCTGCTTTAAAAAGGATTTTTTTTGGGGGGGGGGGGCTGGCTCATGCTGCCTTAAGGGAGGGTCTGGTAAGGCATGAGAGCTAGGGATGGAACTGAGATCCCCTGTGCCTGGCTGGGTTTGCCCCAGAAGACGCTGAAACAACTGAGGTAACCCCCAAGCCCCACTTTGAATCAGCTCTTGAGACACCTAAAGCTAACCTTATAACTGTTCCGGCAAGATCGGGCATGTTCAGGGTGGCATAGCTATACATTTTGTCACTAGCCCAACTGCCAACAGGAACAGACACTGTCCTGTATTCATGCCCACTTGCTACATGACTCACTTCCCTATTTGGTCCT